TATCTATCTATCTATCTATCTATCTATCTATCTATCTATCTATCTATTTGTCTATCATCTATCAGCAAAAATTACCAGTACAGTGGGGTAAATAACCTCTCCTTTCTCAAAATTTGAATTTTATTCCCTCCTTTCTCCCAAATACTAGAATTCTGCTAACAGATCTAGAGCACACACACACACACACACACACACACACACACACACTCTTACACTTGTTTCTGTTCCTTTTCGTTATAGACTGTCCGGTTCCTGAAGAATTGCACCCTGGAGATTGGTGTGAACGAGTGTGACCAGTGGGAGCTGACGAAAGAAATTGTCTGCCGGCACTTTCTCCGCAATGTGAGGTTTATACATTTCTGGGCTCCTTGGGGAATCTCTGAGCTGGGTGGTTTTCTTGCGGACGTCTCGTTACCCAACTACGTAACATCATCAGTATTAGAAGGGCGTGGGGTTTGCTCTTATTTTCTTAACCGGTGGCTTGTTCCGACAGGCATGGTGGGAGGAGTCTTGGTGTTTTCTGGATTAAGTGATGGTTTATTGTTAGTCTGTTGCTCTGCATTGGTAATTCCTTGATGGGGGTATTGTGTACTTCGTTGTTGGTCTAGTGTTTGTGATTGTGATGTTAATCTGTACTCATTGGGGAGGCAGGAGGGTTTGCTGGTGAGGTATTTATATGGTTGTGTTGGGACTAATGGAGACGTCCGCCTTAATGCAGGTAGTCCTTGACTTACAACAATTCGGTTAGGGATTGTTCAAAGTTGCGAGAGCAGTGCCTTGTTTTGCACATTTTACAAAACATCCCCTCGGGGACGGGATCGAAATTCCGCCTCGTGTTAGATTGAAACACAACTTTGCAACCCGTTTGCAACCCTGTTTTAACGGAGCTGTATGTTGTTCTTGTTTTCCTTCTCCAGCTGGGAATTGTAGTGCCCCCCCAGGCGCTGACTCTCCCGGAAGAACCCATCACCCAACTGGGCAGCTACTGGTGCGACGTCACGGTAAGCTCCCTCTTGGACTTCCGACGAGTATTTTTTTGGTGACCTGGAGACCTGGCCATCCACGGTGGCTCAAAAAGGGGACTTGACGTTATCATAGAAAGGAGGAATGACAAAATAAAAATAAACAGGGCCCCCCATTAGCAAAGGAGCCTCTTCGTGCAGGAATAGTCTACCTCTTGGGTAGCAGTCGTGGAGGGCAGATCACCAGGAAGAGGCTGCCTTTTTGGTCTTCCCTCTATGGCAACCCTCCGAGGTTAGTTGTATTTCTTGCAGACATTTCGTGACGCAACTAGGTAGCATCATCAGTGCTGGAAGGGAGTGGGGTGTGTAGAGAAAAGGAGAAAGGGAAGAGGAGGAGAAGGAGAAGGACCAGAGGAGGGCAATGGGTTCCTTAGTTTGGTTGTTTCCTTACAGACGTTTCATGACCCAACTAGGCAACATCATCAGTGCTAGAAGGGAGTTTGTGTCGAGAAGGAGGACGGTGGTGCTTTCCTCGCTGACATTACCCAAACTAGATCAGCGCTGATAACGTTGCCTAGTTCGGTTATGAAACACCTGCAAGAAAAACAATGGAAACTTTTGCCCTCCTCCTCCTCCTCCCTGGCTTCCAGACCTGCCCAGGTAGGCAGAATGGAGCATTGGGGGGGCGGGTGGGAAGGGGGCACCCTGAGGCCAAAAGCCTGTCCCCACTTTCTCCCAAGAGAACGGGAGGAACCCCCGTCCAACCGAGAGTTGAGTTTTCCTACCGAGAGATCCAGTTTTTTTTTTGCTCGCGGCGGTCTCACGGGACTCTCCTTGCCCCCCCCCCGCCTTATCTTCCCGCGCTGCAGGTGAACGGCCTCGACACCGTCCGCGTCCCACTCTCGGTGCAGCCCTTTGCCGAACCGAAATCCAGCAGCCAGCGGCTTCGGCTCGCCCAGAAGGAACCAGAACCCGCCAAGAGGGAAGCGGGGAAACTTTGAGGCCACCACGAAAGAGGGACCTTTTTTTTCTCTCTCTCCACAGCTCTAAAATCGGAGCTTAGGATTATTTTATTTCTAGCCCAAAACTCCCTTTTTTGGGGAGGGGGGGGGGTTGGATTTCCTTGAGCTGGGCACGGTGGGCGAAGCCAGCTGCTTTGGGGGTCCCTTAAAAGTCTTTCCGGGGGGACGACGACGAGGGGGTCCTGCTTTGGCCCAGAAGCGGGAAGAGGCCTCGGGAACCGGCGAATAAAACATCCCCCTCTGAATAAGTTGCTTCTTCGTGGCGATGTCCAGCTTTGCAAAGAAGAGCTTGGCGCCGTTTTTCGGGGCTTCTGGACTTTTAACGGGAGGCCAGATCCATAGTCCAGCCTGCTTGGAAGGTGTTTTGCGGTTGGTGATAATAATAGCAAACCCGCTGGCTTGAATCCTAGCGGCTTCTCGTCCTTTGCTCGGAGGGGGAAAGCGGGGTGGAAACAGTTTATTTTAATTTTTTTTCCTCCGGGACTCTCTACAGGCACCGAGCCGCCCATGAAAATTACGGAGAGAGTTTGACTAGGTTAGCCCGAGGCCCAAAGACCGGCAAGAGGGGTTGTAGTAGAAGCAGAAAAGTGACCCCGTCTTTACAAGCCTGCAAGCAAACTCCCCAAAAGATTTGATCCCGTTAAAAAAAAAAAGATCCGCAGCCTGGAAGTGCCCGAGTTTTTAAAATCGGGCGGGCAGGTAAATCAAACCAGCTTTTTTTTGTTTGAGGAGTGGGGTTTTTTGTTTTTAAAGTCCCCTAATGCTTGAAGGCTGCTGGTGATTCAGATAAACTCTTCTAACTTGGTAGCAAAAGGGGCAAACTGCCTCCCCTACCCCCCCCCCACACCCCCGACCCCCAAGGAAGAGTTTTCCTGGATTTGAACTCGGGATGGGAAGAAAAACGGCTGCTGCGGAGTTTTAGTGAAAAGGGCTGTTTTTCTCTCTCGCGTGGGGTGTGAATAGGGAAGGGAGTCTGCTCACCTTCGCTGCCCCTTTCTTAGCCTCACACACACACATGCACGCACACTCCGCTCCGTTGTGCCAGGGCCCTTGCGGGAACCAACGGCGGCGGTGGCGCGTCCCGGAATGGCCTGTTTGCGACAGTCTCCAGACCTCGCAAAGCCGTCGTTGCATTAGCAGTCCCGTCGCGGCACCGACTGGAACAAGCTGCGCCCGTCCCCCAGTGTCCTGTCCCTTGGCATCTGATGGGTCTGCTGCCAGTTAATTTATGCCTGACCATGCCTCCTCCTCCTCCTCCTCTTCCTCCTCTCACCAACCACCACCATCGAAGGGGACACCAAGCTGCCAGCTTCCCCGCTCCGTCAGGGAAGATAAGTCAGGGAGGATAACACGGGGAAAACTTTCTCTCCCCCCCCCTCTTTCCCCCAGCAAAGGAGGGACGGCTGCCAACAATCTCATTAGGGCCCTACGTGAGGATGCTGGGGGAAGGGGGGGGGGTCCGTCCGGGATGCACCGGCGGAGCAGGCCATGAATATTCACGCGGAGCTGCGCCTGCTGCAGAAGAGCCATCCATTACGGCGGCCTTGACGTCCCACCTTATCAAGGTGACTGTGAGATCATGTCGGCAGAGCCGGCCAGGCCTGGAGAAGGAGGGGCGCGGGGGGGGGGGGGGGGGGGGGGGACGGGGGGGGGGGCCAGACTGCGGGTGAGGTGGCCCTGGACGCTCACAAAAGGGAGGGTTGCAGCCCCTCTCCTCCTTCCTTCTCCTTTCCTTCTCCTCTCTTCTCCTCCTCCTCCTTGCCCTTTGGTGATTTCCACCCCTCACTGAGCTGGGGGGAAAAAAGGAGCCATTTTCCACGCAATTTTTGTGGGTTTATTAACAACCGGTGAAAAGGAAAGAAATGCCAAGAAATATCATAATTCTGGGCCCCTTAAGTAGCCTGGTTTAGCTTCTCCGTCATCTTCTCTTCGATCTTCTTCGGCAGCTCCGGGTTGGTGAAGTAGTCTGGGAAGCAAAAAAAGGCGAGGAAAACGGAAGTTTGGGGTGGGTTTTTTTTTTCTCCTTGCCTTGGGCGCTTCTGGGGGTTGGGCTAGATGACCTCCAAGGTCCCTCGATGGCAAATCGGGGGATTTTTTTTTTAGCCTATTTCGTTTCCCTGCTTTGCTCCTCCAAGGGAGCGTGCCTGTGTGTGTGACAGGTCCCAGGTGTGCAAGCGGCCGAGGGAAGCACTCTGCACATGGTCAGGGGAGCGTGACACACACGCCTCTGGGGCTCTCTTTGCCTGACGCTATTCTCTTGCAGGGCTCTTGTCCGCCCTTCTTAGAAGCTAAAATCTTCTCTTGCGAGGCGGTGCTGATAGAGAAACATCCTTGCAAGGAAAATATTATTTATTACTCCATTTGGGGGAGAGAAGGAAGGAAAAGAAAGGAGGGAAGGAAGAGAAAGTGAAGCAAGGAAGTAAGGAAAGAAAAAAAGAGGGAAGGAAGAAAGAGAAAGAAAAAGGAAGGAAGGAAAGGAGAGAAGAAAGAAAAAGCCAAGAAGGAAGGAAGAGAAAGAAAAAAGGGAAGGAAGGAAAGTTTAAAGGGAGAACCGTTTAAAGTTTAAAAGAGCCGAATCAACTTTCAAGATTCTGTTCAATGCAGAATCTCCAGAAATTGAATTGAAGCAGCCATTGATTTTAGTCTGAACAATCAGCAAGTTATTATTAATTAATCACAACAGGGTTACGCCTCTGTTTGAAACTTTATTTAGCTTGGGAGCGGGTTCTGCTTTGCTTTTTAAATGTATATTTTTTTAAAGCCCTGCTTGCTTGGCCCGCTCTCTGGGGCTCCTTCCCCAGGATTAATTGGGGGTGGTGTCTCCCCAAAAAACCCCACGTTAAAGCAGGCATCCTTGAAACCCAGGCACCGCGGTTGGGCATCCGATCGGGGCAGAGTAGACGTCCTTGTGGCAAAGAGAGAACATTGGAGGGGGCCGTGAAACCGTCTGGCCAAAAAGGAAAAGAAAAATATCAGAATTTTCCACGGTGCCCGTCCGATTCCCAGCCAATCGGCAGCCCAGGCTGGTGTGTTTTGCACGCACTTCAATTGGACACGGACACTCCAGATCTCCCAATGGGGAATTGTTCAAATACATTTTAATACTCACCTGCTGCAAATTCTCGGATATTCTCCGGCCTTTTCATCAAGACGTCTCTGGAAATCACCAAAGGGCAAGGAGGAGGAGAGAGAAGGAGGAGAAGGAGGAACGAGGAGGAGAGGTGGAGAAGAAGGGAGAGGGAGAAAAAAGGAGAAGAAAGAAAGGAGAAGAAGGGGGAGGAGGAGAAGAAAAGAAGGGGAGGGGGAGGAGAAGAAAAGGAGGATGAGAAAAAGGAGAAGAGAAGGGGAAAGGAGAAGAAAGGAGAAAAAGAAGGGAGGAGAAGAGGACGAGAAGAAGAGAAGGAGGAGGAGGCGAGAAGGAGGACAAGACAGGAGGAGGAGAAGAGAAGGAAGAGAAGAAGGGGAGGGGGAGGAGGAGAAGGAGGACGAGAAGAAGGAGAAGAAAAGGGGAAAGGATGAGAAGAAGAGGAGGGGGAGGAGGAGAAGAAGAGGAGGACAAGAAGGGAGGAGGAGAAGGAAGAAGGAGGAGAGGAGGAGGAAGGGGAAATGGGGCAGAAAAACAGATTTTCAAAGAGTTTTTTTGTTCCTTCCCAGCCTGGCCGGTCCTCGTCCCCTGTCAAATTGGTAAATGAGCCCCTTCCCTTATCGAAAATCAATAAGGCAATTAGGGACCCAGGAGAAACGTCTAATTTATACCTGCCCTCCTCCTGCGTCGGCAGAAAGAAAAAAAATCGGGTCTTGGGGGCCCCGAACGGAGCTTTCGATGGGGAAATTAAAACCCTCGGAAAAAAAGCCTACGAGAGAGGCAGCCGGCCGAGGAAATATTTATCACCATTAAAAATACCATTTCCTTTTTTTCCTGAACTACCGTTCGGGAATCGATAAAGCAATTAGCAAAGCGCTCCAGAAATTGAGGTTTGGTTTGGTTTTTTTAAAAGTTGGTGAAAAGAAATTTACCGCTTTGTAAAAAAACAAACAAAAAACAAAAATTTAAACACCCCAAACCCTAGTTAAGGCCACGCCTGGAATCCTGTACCCAATTTTGATCGTCATATTACCAAAAAAAAAACACAGAGGTTGAGACTTTGGAAAAGGTGCAGCGAGGAGCAACGAAGGTGATCAAAAGGCCTGGAGGCTAAAACAGAGGAAGAACGGCTGCAGGATTTGGGTTTGACCCGTCTAGAGAAACGAAGGACTTTTAGGGGTGAACGTGATATCTGTATTTCAATATTTGAGGGGGTCAAATTCTTCTCCAAAGCCACCTGAAGGCTGGAGGAGAAGCAACGGATGGAAACTAACCGAGGGCAGAAGCAGCGGGGAATTGAGGAGGAAATTTCCTGACAGTAAAGGACGGTTAACCAGTGGAACAACTTGCCACTAGAAATTGTGGGGGCTTCAAACGTGGGAGGCTTTTAAGAAGAGACTGGACAGCCGCTTGTCTGAAATGGGTTCTCCTGCTTGAGCCAGGAGGGCTGGACTAGAAGACCTCCAAAGGTCTCTCCCAACTTGGTTGACTTCAAGCGGTTGTAAATTAAGGACTATCCGTAATCAGTTGGGCCTTGAGAAGAAAGAATGAAATGAAAATCCTTTCGCTCGACCTGGGAAACTGACCTGAGAAATCCAGACAGCAGAACCTTAATTTCGGTGTGAGCCCGGAGGTATTTTTCGTTGTTAATTTTGGTGTTGATCTAGGAAGGAAAAGATACAAAAGGAAGATCCCAAAAGATAAAAAATAAACCAAAAAATAAAAATAAAAGTGGTTATTTGAAAGATCACTCGTGCCTGCCTTGGTTTGAACTATTACTATTCCTAAAATTGCACGTTGGGTAGTTCCCACCCCTCGCACACACACGCACAAACACACGCACAAACACACCCCATACAGACAAAGCCAGCCTCCCCTGCAGGGTTGTATGGCAGGTAGAAATGGTGAGGCCACATCCGAGGCTTCAGGTCTCCTAAGGAAATTGTATCCTGCAGTCCAATGTCGGCACTAGCTGGGCGTGTTTTCCCGACAGGGATTTTTCCTAGGTTTGTGTCGGTGTGTTTGTGGGTGGTGAGAAAGACACTCCTTCGTAATTGTCCCCGGTTGTATAACAAGCCTCATCCTAAGATTTCTCCAAAGCCCTGGAGCCTTTCCAAAAGGCACTAAAATCCTTTTTAGTATTATGCAGCCAATAATAATAATTAAGAATAATAATGAGGAGGAGGAGATGGAGAAGGAGGAAGAGAACTCAAAAGAAGAGGAGGAGGAGGAGAAAAGGAAGAGTAAAAGGAGAAGAGGAGGAAGGAGGAGGAGGAGGAGGAGAAACGGAAGAGTAAAAGGAGAAGAGGAGGAAAGAGGAGGAGGATTTCATGGATGTAACAGGAAAAATGAAAAAATAAAAATAAAAAAAATAGAGTTTTCCTTCTCTGTCCCCATAAATGTTTCAGAACAATTCAAATTTCCTTGGATTTTTCTCCTTGTTTTCCTGGTTTCATTGTATTATTGGCAGTTGGGGTCCTTCCCAATTTCAGCTCCCCCCCGCACCTCCTCCGTCATTTCCCCCCCCCCCAAGCTGACCCACATTTGAACCCCAAATCTCAACCTGGATCGGGTACCAAACCTCGGTCCGATTTTGCCATCTCGTTTTTTTTGCACATCTGGGGCCCTTTGGGGATCTCGGCTAGTTTTTTTAGGAAGCTGGCTAGTTAGGTTTTTTTGGGGGGGGGGGGAAGCCCCTTTTCTTTCCTGGGGGGAAGGGACTTGTTTATGGTGGGGAAGGTTAAAAGATTAAAGATTCAGATTAAAAGATTTAAGATTAAAATTTGTGGGGTAGGGGGGACTGGAATTTCCCTGCCAAGAGAAACGGGCAGCTTGGTCCTTGCTTAAAAGCCTGCAAAAATTATCCTTTCGTTCAGCTTTGGAAAGCATAAGCGGGGGTGGGGGGGTCCCTTTGCCCTCTCCAGGCCTGCAACTCCGCTCCCCCCACCCCCCCCACACCTTGTAGGTCATGAGCTGAGTCTGTTGGGGGGCGCTGAGGGCCCCCCCATCCAGGCTTTCCAGGCCTGTCGTGACATCAGCCATTTTGCTGGGTGGCAGCCGCTTCCGTCGTCCCTGGCAGGAGCTGCTGTTGGCGCTGTTGCCATGGGGACCCCGGCTAGCGGTTGCAAGGCCTTGCCCGCAGGAACAGGCCTGATTCCTTCCTGCCCCCC